ATAAATTTTGTTTTTGTATTAATAAATAAGTCTTGTCTAAAATTCTACAAACTACTAAAAGTCATCATCAATATAACCTTCAATTAAATAAATGATGTATATAGACATGCAAAGCAAAATATTAATATGTCTCTAAATGATTTTTTAAATGATGATGATCACGATGCATTTATTTTTAATTGTTACTTTCGATACATTATTCATCAATTGTCTAAAAAGAGAGAGAGAGAAAAGAAAATATTGCCTTCGGTTGTTTCAATATATACATATACATTCATACTCAATTTCAATGATACGATGTTGACTATCATCTCTCATCTAGTTTGTATCTTGACATAAATAATAATGACTTTCGCTTCACATATCCTAAGCATAAGAATGTATTGTATGTAAAAGAATAACAAATCGTTTTTGTCTTTATTTCTTTCAATTCACTTTTAGTTTCTAGTCATTACAATGAATGTATATATATACAAGTAAAACAGAACACTTCAATTGTTATTTCTTTTCTCTTACTTATATATATATATACGTTTTATTTCAATGATTACTAGAAAAAAGAAATCTTTTTTTTGTTGTATGTATGTTTTTTAAAAATTATAGAATCAATTATCCTAGAAGGTGAATAGTAGAAGAAAAGAGCATCAAAATAACACTTCGTTTTTTCTTTCTTTCAATGACATCCTCCCTTCTCTTTTTTTAGCATTTGTATAGGTGACAAAAACGACACTTATCAAGGTAGACTGACTGATGATGCTTCTTTTAGTACTGTATTTTGTCATGAATGTAAGGTTAAATATTATTTTTTTAGTTATATCGAATAAGAGTCTTATTTTGAACAACGTTTAAATATAATTTCAAAGTTTTATCCTATATTGTGAATAATCTTTTTATTTTACAGACGAGTTTTTCTCTATTGACATTTGTTTGAATTTACAAAGATTACTTTGTACCGTTATTCTATTCAGGGGCTCCGATCAGGGGGGTCTAGCCTCCTCCCCCTCCAAAACTGAGAAAACTTTCTGCCAAAATTTTTAAAGTTCTGCGGTAAACTTGATTAAAAACTTATTTTATATGCTCTTTTCACCATTTTTTTGTCCGAAACTCCAACAAAAACACTTTTTTCAGGCAAAATTCCACAAGAAAGTGGATAGTTTAAGTATTTTCTACATTATATGTGTCAGAAAATTATATAGCAGCACTTTCTGACAAAATGTTATCCCCTCCTACTTTTGAAAACAATCGGGAACCTTGATTTTCTATCGAACATATTTTGAGATCTGATACAGAGAGATATTACAAAAGTCCCTTTAAAAACCATACCGATTTTTTTATGCACTTTACTTTCATGTACATATTTATTCGAAGAATAGATAATATTATTTTTATCAACAATCAAAGTAAATATTTTTATATGTAATTTTGACATAAATTAAAGCGTTATTTTTAATCATATTCTTTAGTTTTATATTCTATGATATCCACTAACGTTAATAATAAGTTCGTTTTTTTCTGAAAGGAGATTAGAAGAGCGTCTTTTGATTATGTGAAACACACTTCAAGTAAAGTCGAAATAAACTTAACGGGTACAACATTCAGCTTCTTTTATAATCTATCGATAAATTCTTTTCTCAAAGATATTATATCTATGTATGAATGTCTTTATTTATCGTAATAATATCTGTTCTATTCGACAAGTTAATATTTCACATTGCAATGGATCAATCTCATTCTTATTTTCTTTAGCCAATTGTATTTTTTTCTTGTAAAGTAAGCTCATACTTTATTGTCATTGTTCACATGTATAACAGTCGGATTATAAATGAAATATATTTTACTTACATATGTATTTAAAGCACATGTTAGAACATGAGAAGATAGAGGAAGGTCAAAGAAAAAGGTCGACTCGTTCACATTAGAGAGGAATATTCCCAACAAAAATTACTTCGTCAAATCTTACATTGTTCTCACAATTAGGCGACATTTACTAGTAGAATTTTTGCGATAAACCTTTTCCCCAATATTTCTTTATACTCTCTTAGTAAAAGTACATATAACTTGAACTTTTATTCATCACATTTTTTAAACATAACATAGGTTTTAATATATTAGTAATAAAATATCGCGCATTCTATAATTATATATAAATTCAATATTTAGTATGTAGTTATTATTAGAAATACCTTTTAAATATATTCGTTATCTTTTTTATCGCCATCTATAGATTTCACTACTTGTCATTAATCTTATCATTCATGGTTGGTTTATATCATAAGACAATAGACATCGTGAAAACTGCGTCATGATTCGTTTCCTTTTTTTTTCTGTTATCTAATTAATTTAGCTTGTACATGTCTTTTATTCATTCCAAACAAACGAAAGAGAGAAGAAAAAAAAATGTTCTCATTCATAGATAGAGAAAAACAAAACAAAATGATATATTTTTTTCTTTTATTTAGATGTTTTTGTCTTCCATTTGTTTATTAATTAAATATTCTTCTTTTTGGTAATGAACAATCAACCAGAAGAACATATTTTCAATGATGAACGATTAAAAAAACAATTACGAACATCTCATTCCTCATCACGAAAATCTCGTTCTATAAGTCGATATTTTCTTGGTACTAAACGTTCAAGTCTTGATGTAGCTACACAAGAAGTAGATATATCACGTTGTTTAACATCAGTTGGCATATTTGATTCATGTGATCTTTGGACAAATGTAACATTATTTCATGATTATAGAACATGTCGACGTTTATTTATTTTAACAAATAAAAATGAATTAATTATTGGTAAATCAAATCCAAAACAATCATTATTTAGAATCAAACATCGTATTAATATTAATCGATTATGGTTATATACAGAACTTAATGATTATATTTCATCAGAAATAACATCTTTAACATATTATGATCATCAACGAACGTTTATCATTGGTTGGCCATTAGTTGAAAATTTTCTTGTAGAATTTGATACAAAAGATATTAAAAATATTTGGCATGAACGTATTCAATCGTAAGTAATTAGAAGAAAAAAACATCAAAAGATATTAGTTGACGAAATTTCTTATGAATCATTAAATAATTATAAATTCATAATATTTAGTCATAAAAACTCGATACTTATATTCTTAACAACTTCTTAAGAATATTTCTCTCTCGAAATCCAATGTACTTTTGCTTCGAGCAATGCTGTAAATATACCTACTCATCCTATTCATATTTCAAGAGTGATGTATTTCTTACTTTGATCGTATGTCAATAGACATGATTAATAGCATACGTAAGAAATACATTATACTTAACAAATATCTTACGTTTAGCTATATTTTAAATAGACACTTTTTTTTTGTTAAGATATCATATGTCGTTTTTAGAGCTCTGAATATTTGGCAGCAATTGAATACTTCGAATATTGAACATGTTCGTGTTTTAATCGATCAAAATCAAGAGCCCGATCAAAATAATAATAATACTACAACATTATTTGTAATTGTAAGTTGAAAAATATCAAATATATTGGTCAAGTTGTTTGACAAATTGTAGCACACTTAACTTGACTGAGTACATTTAATCTTTTATATATATTTTTCTCTTTAGCGTAAAGTTATCAGTATTCGACCACAAGAAACCGTCCGAGATTTAATAAAAAAATGTATTGATACGTCACATCTTCAAGTATGTCAACTAAATTTCTCTATTTTTCATATATATTGAATTATTTTAATCCAAAGGATTCATCAATCGATAATTATGTTTTATATGTTTTAAATGATGCCAATACAACATCAAATACAAATAATAATAACAATAATAATAATAATATGAACCAAGGAATGAATTCATCTTTACAATTGAATCAAACACAACTAATACCATTGATTGGTACGTTTATTTTGTTTGTCACGTGTAGATATTTATATATTTTTTTATTTGCTTGATATAACGCATTTTGATATTCAGAAAGAAAAAAGGAAAGACAGAGCATGTAACTTCATTTTACAGGTATATATATGTATATACATGCAAATTCTCATCTGTCCTTCTTAGTTTTTTTCTTTTTTCGTCTTTGATTTTTTTTTCTCTGTAAAAAAAATTATGAGAGTACACTTAAGATATACAACACGTAACTAGTAGTTTTCGATTCGTTTGAGTATTTTATTATGCATGGAAATCAATATTTATAAGAAAGTATTTATCATTCTATTTTAAAAAAGAATAATGATTAACGAACGATCAAGAAGAATTGATCGGCATCAACCGATTATTTTTTCTTTATTTCGTACAACTACAATACGTTCAAAAAGTCTTGATAGTATGTCTGATCGTAATCATCATGAAAAAGGTAAAATGAAAAAAAAAATTTAATATCATTATTTAAAATCTAACAATGTCCTTGTTTATATATATGTATACATATCAGACAAAACGAAGAGGTGGAGAAGAAGAAGAAGGAGGAGGAGGAGGAGAGAAATAGTTTTACGCCTACATATAAATTGTATTCTTGACATTTCTTTAAGAATTAATAAAAACAAGAGAAACGAGTGATATATATCAATCATGATGACATAAATATGTTAAGCACATACGGGAAATCAATGTCACTACGAGTTTGATCTACATCATTAGACAGTCGTAAGAATAGTAACACACATTCATTTATGTATCCTGCCTTTTCTTGATAAGAAAAGTGGTTTGAATTGATTGGTTCAAATAAAGAGAGTCGATCGTATATCTCAAAGTTGAGTAGAATGAAGAAGAAGAAGAAGAAGAAGAAGACGAAAAAAAAAGAAGCCGTTCAACGAAAAAAGAAAAAGAAAGGGAAATATGTTGTTCATGTACATAGTTAAGACAAACATTGACGATGCGCATATACACGATGTATGAACTCCCAACTATTTTAAATATTTGAGGTAAAAGAAAAAAAAAAAAGAAAAACTTCGACAGAACAGAACGAATGAAGATGAATTCAAACCAAATAGATAGTAGATAATGTTTCGAGTAAGCAATAGTACATCACGATATAATTTAAATCGTTATTCATATAGTAAGCTAAAAAAACTATTTTATTAATACATAGTTTTCTCAAATGAAAATGTTTCCTTTAATTTTTCCTAGGTCATGAATATCCATATGCAATAAAAATGAAACATTTAAAAACATCAAATAATACATCATTTGATGGCGATGATCATTTATCATTACAAAGTCATCATAATAGTTCAACAAACAGTTTAAATAATGTTTCAATAAATTCTCATGATTTTGAATTACGTAAACGTGATACAACAGATAATCAAAATAAAAAACATCGTTTTTTTAATAAAAAAAAATCCAAAGATAATTATTCTAAACCACCAATACAACAAATAACTGATGATTATCACCCATCATCTACACAAACTCGAATGAAATCTTATCAATTTTTTGGACAAAAACTTGAAGATTTAATAAAACTTAATAATAATCAATTACCACCAATTATTCAAGTATAGAAAACTAAAATTATTATTTTTATGATTTAATTATTCTATTTTTTAGCAATTATTGGAAATTCTTTATTATAAAGGTCCAGATACAACCGGAATTTTTCGTAAAGTTGCAAATACACGATCAGTTAAAGAATCTATTGAGAAAATTGAACGAAATATTTTATTACAAAATGATGATTTACATCCAATATTAGCAGCCGGAATATTTAAAGTAAGTTTTTCTATTAACATAAATATCAGATCTTTATTGACTGAATATAAATTGAAGTGTTTTTAGAAGAGGAGAATTAACGGTAAGAAGAAGTCATAAAAAAATTTCTCCCTCTAGATTTTTTTTGTACCTGCATGATGATGATTTGTCTTGAACCTTGCTTGATAAATAAATATAATTTTTGTTTGTAGCATTTTTTACGAACATTACCTGAACCCGTGTTTAGTACAATTCAATATGATAGTTGGAAAAAATGTCTTCGTTTACCAACATTACAAGAAAAAATTACGTTTGCAAGACGAAAGTAAGAATTAACACTAAGGGAAAAGATGAAATAGTTTTAATTATTTTTAATTTTAGTATTATAAGTACACTTGCGGAATCAGATCATTTATTATTGAAAGGTTTTATATGTATACTTTATCGAATTTCTCAACATGCTGATACGAATGGAATGAATCCATTTAATTTGGGTTTATGTGTATCAAATAGTTTATTTAAAACGGAATCAACAAGTATAACATCTGGTAAACAAGAAGCTGATGTTATGTCATCAATTGTGGAGTTTTTAATTGTTAATTCTTCATCATTATTTGGTTCCGATGTTATTACATGTATACCCGATAAACATATTATTGTTCATCAAATTCCTAATTTAAGTATGAAAATTTGAATTAAAAATCTTTCGGGTTTTTTAAATACGAATCAATTTTAGCACGACCAACAGCATCGTCTATTGAAAGTCTTGATGAAGTTGAATCATCACCTCATTTACTTGTCGTAAATCGCTCTCGTGATTCTGGTTTAGCTACATCAGATCAACCATTGAATGATGATAGTTCAGAAATAAGTGAACATTTTCGACGTCTTACACCTTTATCTCCACCCGATTGGACATCATCAATTGCATGTGGTCATGGAACTGTCATAACAAGTATTATACTTCCAACAACAACATCATTATCTATAACACGATGTCGAAATCTAAAAAATACATATAAACCATCGAAACATTTTATGGCAAGAGAAAAATTAACAAATGATACAACGGATGATTCAGATCGTGATGTATTAAATGGTGATTCAAGTGTACGATCATCAACAACAACCGTTAATAATATGACAACAGCAAAAATAAAACGAACAAAACCCATATCACGTCATTCATCTCTAGGTAGTAATGAACATCATAATCAACAACAACAACAGCAACAGCAACAAAATCTAACAAAAGAATCAAAACGTTTAACAACAAATGATGTTAAACGTGCATCATCACTTAAACAATTTCACCGTCTATCCGATGAAGGTGATGATGATGATGAACAAAATAAAAGTTTAAATACAAAAATTACTATAAAAAAGAAAGTATCAACAATAATAAAAAAACATGAACAAATATTACCGTCGACATCTTCAATCAATAGTAAAAATTTAAATAATGAACGACGACCAAGATTCATAAAATCAAAAAATAAAACTAGTGATGATGAATCGATGACTACAAGGTAAATTTTCACAAAAAAAAGCAATAACAGTCATAGCTAATAATTTTTATCCTCATGACAGAAGTTTTAATCATTCTCATATAAAACAGTAGATAAGATAAATGAATTAATTTCTTTTTATTTTTCAATTTCGACTACAAAATAAATTCTTCTCTTTTCATTTCCTACCTTTATGAACAGAATAATGTTTGGTAATTGTCGTACACATCACCTCTAGTAATATATTCATTTTTTTGGTTCAATCTGAAAGCAAAATATTTATATTAAAACGTTTTTTATTTTTACAGATTGTAAATAGTTTTAAGTAAGAAATAATAATACGGTATGTAAGGGATGGTTGCTCAGACAAACAATTTTTTCTAACGACTGCTATATTAAGATAAAAATATTTATATAAAAAGAAAACAAATTTTAATTATTCAATGGTTTCTATTTTTTTCTCGTCTTAGATCAACACATCTTGAGCAGCAAGATTTGGATTTAACAAGTGAACCATTAAGCACAATAAATCAACGTTTTAATAATTCCATAGCAACACGTTCAGCATCATTTTCTTTAGCTTCATTTAATAGAAGGTTAAATTCACCTTCAACTATTCAATCAATACAACCACCTGTATCTAATCATATCCATACTCGACAACAACAACAACCACCTACAACAGTCGATGGTCGTTCTCGACATAATGGTCCATTAATAGCAACAACAAATCAAATATATATGACTTCTCGATATGAACATCACAATCAAACAAATTCAAACACACAAAGTAAAATCGAACGTGATCGAATATTTATTCATCATTCGGATTCACGACCATTTAAACTTGGTACAGCAATACAAATGAAACCAATTGATGATGTATTAATATCATCATCATCATCATCATCAATCACTGGACGATGTCGTCCATGTCATAGACAAAATGCTCTTCGATATAAAATGATTGATCAAGAACAACAACAACAACAACAACATGAAAGACCATCACGTTCATCAACACCAGTCATAATTAATCAAAATCGAATTTATGCAAGTGAAAATTCTTCATCATACATTCCACGTTATCAATCAATTGAAAGACGTATTTCATCAACACCACCACTATCATCATCATCCGAACAACCACCAATAAAAGGATTTTCATTCGATATGCATACAGAACTTCGACCATGTGATATATCTTGGTCAGTACGTGAAAAAGCAAAATTATTTGAACATACAAATCAAAATAAATTATCAACAGGTCGTGAAAATTATGTGTGATTTATGTGTGTTTGTTTATTTGTTTTGATAACCGGTGATGTGTGATACATTCGAGTTCTCTCATAATATGTCAAATCTTTTTTTTTTCGTTGGTTCGCTTATTTCTAATCTCATGCTCAGGTGTTCGAGTTTAGCAGCAATAAATTGTTGTTTTTTCCTTTTTTTTCTGTTGTACATATTATAGATATCTATTGTGAGCTTTTATAATTTCCTTTCACTTTTTTTTTGTTGCGATTTTTTTCTTCTTAAATATTAGCATAAAAACATTCTCTTTTTTTTCTCCTTTCTTTTTTCTCTTCTTGTTCCTTTAATTCAACATCGAATTCGTACATACTTATATCATTTATTTCTTATTTTTGTTTCTTTTTTTTTCTCTATTCGATTTATCTGCAGCAAGACAACAAACGCAGAATTTCTCAGTTGTTTTTTTCGTTATATGGAAAAGAAAAAGAAACAAATAAGAAAACAATGTTTTTTTTCTTCATGTTTATTTGCAGATGACAAGAGAGAATATGAACGTTATTGTTTGTAGATATATATAATTAATAATGAAAGGGTTGTATTGTTTTTTACGTTTCGCAGACAATCGTTTATGAAAAAAAATGAGAATATATATCATTTCAAAATGAAACCTAAAAAAAAATAGATTGTTGAAATATTTCTGTTAGAATTGTTTGATTAAAATTTTGACTAAATCATTCATACAGATTCATTTCCATGTTTACAGACATAAGTAACTTTACTGTAAATTATTTTAATAAAGGAAATATTTTTAATATTCAGCGCGAATTTTCTTGTTTTTTTTCTACACATCATGTATCCAAATCGATTAAAACCACTACCTATATTGGATCAAACATTTTATGAAGCTCAATTACAAATTCATCAAATGCCAATAAATGTTCTTGCAAAATTAAATAATAATCCAACTGAATTATTACATTTCATTCAAACATTACCAACAATTCAAGCAATGGAACATAAACGTCGACAACTTATTGAACATAATCGATATTTAGCTAAGAATAATCTTAAACGAGAACCAGAATTAATTCATATACGTCAGCAATTATCTCATTCTTTTGCTGAATTAAAACCATTACGTGATCAATATTTAAAATTAAAAATAAATCAACAAAATAATATTTCTTCACCGGATATAATTTTAGCAAAACTTCAATCAGATGTTCAAACAAATGAACAAGCTAATGATGAAATGATTGAAACATTCTTAAATACAAATCATAATGATCATGATATTGAAATATTTATAAAAAAGTTTCTTCATGATCGACAAGAAACAATTAAACTTCGTTGTATTACAGAAAAATTCTATCATTTATATCAAATTGAAAAACGAAAACAATAAAATTCTTCTATTTTTTAGATAAAACTTTTTTCTTTTTCAATGGCGTCAGGTGTTCAACAAGTAGGAAATAAAAATCGATGAAAATTAAAAGACTAATATAATTTATTTAGTGGCGTCGATTTAATTTTTTTGATAAAGAAATCGTTAAACGAAAAGGTGGAAAACCATTAGAAGATGTTAAAGTATGAAAAATAGAAGAGAAAAAGATATTATTGTATAATATTATATTTAGAATATTCAAGTTATTGCATCAACTAGTACAAATGGTGCTGGTGATGGTCAATTGATATTTGGTTGTAGTGATGGTTCATTATGTGTTATTAATCGTGATTATGAAGCTAATCATATACGTTCATTTGATATTTCATTACAATTATTAGCACATTCAGCAGGTGATACATTAATAGCAATTGGAGTAAGAATAAAATTATTAAATGAAAAAAAAAACATTCTATTTGAAATTTTAAGATGGATGAAAATGAAACAAAACAAACGATTAAATTATGGAAAACAGATAAAGTTAGTTTCATTAGGATCTTTTATATTCAAAGAAATCTATCAAATAGTTTATTTAATAGACACTTGTAGAAAAAGAAAATACAGAACCAGCAAAAATTATATCAATATTACCAAATGATCATCCAAATTCAAAAGTAATTCAAATTTAATTCGATGAAACAAAATAAAGATTTCTTTTATTTTCAATAGATATGTGCTGTAGCTATTACTGATCGACATATAGTACTTGGCTGTGAAAATGGAGCAATATATTTTTTTGCATCAACTGATTTAATTAAAGAAAAGTATGTGTTAAGATATTTTGTATACATACGTTGCAGGAGAAACTAAAATCTAGGAGGGTGTGGGTGAATTTGAGGGTGGATACTGTATTCACCTAGTTCCCACACCCATACCCATATCCAGGGACGTTCTCAAAGGTGGGATTGGAAGGATCGATTCCCCTCCCAAAAAACAATTTTTAATACCTGGGGAGGGGTACAGGGCGAACAGTTTTCAGAGATTTAGAATAACCTTTTTCTGTGATGGTCTTTTCCTGTAAAATCGTCAGTCTCTCCCTCTTCCCACCCTGAAAAACTTTTCTGCGGACGTGCTCACCCATATCCACCTTCACTCTCAGTACAGTTTTGTAATTCTTTCTAGCATGCCTTTGTTCTACGAGTACTACATCAATCATTTTCCTATCGAAGAATAATTTTTTTTAGTACAAAAAAATTATTTATACTTTCATTTTGTTTTAAAGACGTTATAAATTCACAACACCATTTTATCAAGCTGAAAAGCCAATAACAAATTTAGCACTTGTTGAAGGAACAAAACCACACGGTGGTTTAATAGTTTATGCAACGACTGAAACAAATGTTCTTTCATTTCGACTTATACCAACAGCTCCAACAGCTGGTATATCAACTGCTGTTGCTGTTGCTGCTTCTGTATCATCTACTTTAACATCTACATTACGTGATCGTCGACCATTTCATTTAACACATCATCAACAACCACCAGCACAATTTAATATAACAATTCTTGAAACACATATTGGTTGTTCACCGAGATGTGCTGTTTTAGCACAATCCGATCTTGATGGTGAATTACAATTCGTTATTGCAAATTCTACAGGAGTTTTTTCATATGTTGGAGAAGATAAACGTGTTGGTTTAGCTATTGAAGGAGAAAAATTAACTATACATTGGTGGTTTAATTATTTAATAGTTGTTACAAAAGAAAATCGAAAAGCAATTACAACAACATCAACAACAACTAATCCAACTAATACACAACAACAATCAGCTATTTTATTACAATTAGCAGCAGAGTAAAATTTTCATTTAATTTAATTTTGATTTCGAAAACATTTTATTTTTCTAGTTCAATTCATAAAACAACAACCGAATTACAAACATTAGCTGTTTATGATACAAATCCTCAATTACAGGCTTATTCTGTTGGTATATCACGTATACAATGTGTTCTTGATGAATGGGGTTATATTCATATATTAACTGGTGATGGAGAATTACATCGTTTAATCGAAAAAGATTTACATTCAAGACTTAATATACTTTTTAAAAAGAATCAATATCAACTAGCACTTCAGTGAGTTAATTTATTATTAAATAGAATTATGTAGATGACTTGGAGATTGGATTGACCGACATTTATGCGCACAATGGTTGCGCTTATTGAGAAAAAGAACGTACTCATTCGGAAATTAAACACTGATCTGACCATTTTTAAATAGTCGCTCCTTGAAACAGTATGAAATTCTTTGATCATATTTCGTATTCGACTTTTATCTGATTTTGATGTAAAAAGCAAGCTAATCTTTTGATTCTCAGTAGTATTTTTTATATATTTTCTTAATAATTAAGTGTCACTAACGGAACATTTTTATTTCTGTTAATACATATGGGTAATTCAATTAGATGAGAACAGAACGTAAAACTTTTATTCTATGCGTAAGCGTCGTGTGCGTTCACGTCTTGCAGGCAATTGTCGTGCGCATAAATGTCGTGTCACGTAAACTGAACTTCTTTTTTTAGGTTAGCAAAGAAGAATCAAACCAGTAAACAAGGTATGGCGGAAATTTTCAAACAATTTGGTGATCATTTGTATGCGTAAGTGAAATTATTATTGATTAAAATTTTCATTTTGAGATTGATGATCTAATATAAGTGGTATACATTCAAGTACGGAACATTTATCTAAAAGTTTTCGTGAATGAGATAGACTTCTAGGAATCAATATGTATAGATAATGGGAGTGAGACCATGAAGTAGTTTCCGATTGGGATTCGAATAGTATGTAGGAAAAATCTCATACTCGAAATCGGATACACTCATATGATTCCGCTTCTTTCTGTAAAATATGTTCATTCTTTTGTATTTCATAATAGAAAAAATGAATTTGAATCCGCAACTGATCAATATTGCAAAACAATTGGATTTTTAGAACCATCCTATGTTATAAAAAAAGTGAATAATTTATCTATTATATATATATATATACTGACATAAAATTTCCTTTAGTTTCTTGATTCTCAACATATCGATCATTTAACTCGATATTTAGAAGAATTACATCGTGCAAAATTAGCTAATGTTGATCATACAACATTATTACTTAATTGTTATACAAAACATCCTGATCGTATTAATCGTCTTGCTCAATTTATTGGTTTAAATGAAAATTCTGGATCAACACCTGATGTAGAATTAACTTTTGATGTTGACATAGCAATCGATGTTTGTCGTCAAGCAAGTACGTATTGATATAAAAATTGTTAGAATTTCATTATGATTTATTTTTTTTCTCTAAAGATTATTTGGATGAAGCATTAGCACTTTCAGCTAAATATCGTCGTCATGATAAATATATTAAAATTCAATGTGAAAATAAGAGAGATTATGATCGAGCATTGACATATATTCAAACATTAAAATTTGATGATGCTTTACAAGCATTTAGAAATTATGGCAAAACTTTAATTAAACAACAACCGAAATTAACAACAAAATTATTAAAACAACTTAATCCAACACCACAACAAATCGAACAAGAACAATTACCAGAATCATTAATTAATTTATTTATGAATAATCCAGATGAATTACTTGATTATCTTGAATATGCTGTTAAAGTATATATTCATCTTTATTTATTCTAATATTAGATTCAATTTTTATTATTTTAGCAATATCCAAAAGAACATCTCGTATCAACAGTTTACGATACAATTCTAGAATTACTTCTACAAAAATATAGTACAACAGAAGATAAAAAAGAACTAGATCGTTTAAGTCATCAGATTATAACATTACTTCAAGATTCAAAGGTAAATTATATTTTTTTATTGACATGTTTATTAGAAAAAAGACTTACAATGTTTTTTTTCTATATTATTGTACTAATTAATCGGATTCAGTTAAGAGGACTATATGTGACCGATTTTATTTAATAGGCTTAAAATTTAACGAAGTATTTTTCTTGTAGTGAATAGAGTACGGCGGTTCCAAAAACTACCCAGAACCGGAATCGAAATCGCGGTTCCGGTGGTCAAAAAAAGTGAGCTCGAAATTTGGAGTTTACGGATGTCTAGTTTTCAACGAAAATCTCAGCTCAGAATCTGAACCGTCTGTTTCTGATTGCTCATATAAATACTCTTGGTTACTCTGAATCGACCGATGTTATTCAAGAAAAAAACATGGAGTTAAACGTTAGAATTTTGTTGAAATACTACAAAGTCGTAAACTCCAAATTTCGAGCTCGCTTTTTTTGACCGATTCCGGTTCGGTTACATTTTTGTTGGAACTACCGTACCCTAATGGTGAATATTCTAATTTTCTCAAATGATAAATAGATTTCGATAGAAATTGATGTTTATTTTGTTTTACTTCATGTTTAGATTGGTATTGATGTAACGCGTGCAATGGTTGCATGTCAAAAATATAATTTTAAAGCTGGTGTTATTTGTTTATATGATAAAGCAAAATTGTAAGAAAATTTTTATGAAAATTTTAATCGAATAATATTTTCTTTTTAAGATATCAACAAATTTTGCAATATCAAATGAAAAATAAAGAAAGTGATAAAATAGTTTCGACTTGTCTTAAATATGGTGATGAAGATCCTCAATTATGGATACAAGCTTTAAGTTATTTTTCGAAATTAAAACGTGCGGATGGATGTCGAAAAGAAATTCAACAAATATTAAAATGTTAGTCATAGGATTTGTTTTTGTTAAGATAAACATTTTTTCTTTGTATAGATATTGATGAGAAAGATCTCCTGTCGCCATTATTGGTTATTCAAACATTAAGTAATAATGAATCAACTAGTCTTGATTTACTTAAAGTAAATAGTTATTATTTAGTGTATTTAATGTAGACTTATTTTGTTTCTAAGGATTATTTAATACGAAAACTTCATAATGAACAAACACAAATAGAAAAAGATCAATCAGAAATTCGACGTTTTCGTCAAGAAAGTGAATTATTTGTTGAAAAAATTAAACAATTAGAAACCGAGTTTGTTTAAATTTTTAAATTTTTTAAATTTCACGCTATTTTTTTTTCTCTATTCAAGTCCAATTCTTTGTCAAGATCCAAAATGTAGTGCATGTAAAATGGATTTAGATATTCCATGTATACATTTCTTTTGCGAACATTCTTTTCATGAACAGTTTGTTGAAACTAAAACAATTGTTACTGATCTATAATGAAATTTCTATTATTTTAGCTGTGCTTATGCAGTTGAATCAGCAACATCATCAGAAATTACCTACGAATGTCCATTATGTTCCGGCGATAATCGGTAAATATCGAATTTCAGAATTCTTCCAACTAAGGTCGAAATTAAAACTGCCGAAGGATAAAAATATCGAAGAAAAAGTCGAAAGATGAAAATGATAAGACTTTGGGTGTTCGAAACAACTTAAGGGGAAAAATAAAGAAAGACGTTTGAGTGTGGGTGTGGATATAGACATTTATCTGTATTTAGCCATACCCACACCCACATAAGATTAGCTATTAAACAATATTGTATCAGAATATTCTAGATTTTCGGATTAAGTTTTAATTGAAAAGAGGCAGTACAGTCTAGAATGTAAGAAGCTGCAATCATCTTATGATATGAAAAGCTGTAAGCTTTCTTTAAAAATAGAAACATTCAATTTAGATCTAACATATATATATTATTTATATTCCTTTTAGTAAATGGCTTGATTTAATAAATATGCAACGTGTTAGTAAAGATATTCACGAAACATTTCATCGTAAAATAGATGATCAACAAGATAAATTTGGTGTTATTGCTGAATTTCTTGGTAGAAGACTTTTTGATAAAGTAAGATAAAATTTTCTATTCGAAATAAAAACAAAACAAACTTTATTTTATAGGAGTAACGAATAAAAATGAAATTGATTATTTTAATGTCTTTTTTTCTTCATGATTCCGTGATTAGTTTTTTTCTTATTGTAATTTATTTAAATAAACTTAAATTTCTATTTGTAATACATTGATAATAATTACTGTTTATAAACTCGAAAAAACAAAATATACTGACAATTTAACGAAAAATACAAAAATAACTTAAAGCAGATTATAATCAGCGTCAAGACGTGTAGAATTTTGTATAATAACTCGAGTTGTTGTTGTTGATTGTTTACGTACATTTAACGCTAAAAATTTGAAAATAAAAAAAACTATATTTTAGTTTTTTGTATTGAATAAAACATACGAGTATTAACCATAGTTGAATAACGTCTTTGTACATTGTTGATTGAAGATTTTGATAGATAATAGCAACGACGACAAAGGAAATAAATTATAAATAATGCAAATACAAGAAATATAATAAAGAAAAAAATGAGAATTAATATTCCACGCCATTGTTGATATGTCGTTTCTCCTGAAGAAGGTTTTGACTCGATATTAGTTTGTTTTGAAGGCTTCATATTATTAGAATTGCATAAAAGATTTGTTGATTCATCTGATCCATCCAAACAATGGTCAATACCTATTTTATATGATATTGTAAGAAGAAAAAGTAAGTCAAAAAAATTTACCATCACATAAAAGTAAACTACTGATACAATCTCCGTTCTCACAAGGAAATTCTTCATCATTTAGATCACATGGATGAGTTTTATTCGCTATATAATTAAAAAATAAGAAAGATCTTTAATAAAACTATACTTACGAGAACGAAAGGATGTGAGAACTACTCTAAAACCAAGTCCATTAACATTTCCACCATCCGAACTAAAATATATCAAGTAAAAAATTGAATTTATTACTATTGTATACTAACGTAAAATGAGCAGTAACAATGCCTGTTGGTGATATAAAACTAAAATTATTCGTTTCATTTAATTGACCACATTCAACTGAATCCTAATAAGAATTATGATAAACTTGAATTCAAGTATTCTTTTTTAACTTACAAGTTTATCTGAATCTTTCATATGTACTGATTTATAAAAACGAAGTGAATCTAAGCAATCGGTACCTGCATGAATATCATTAAGATCAAGTGTAAGAATACGTATACGTATTTGATTATTCGATCGTCGAGCCTAAAATTAATAATTTTCTGTTGATCTATATCTAATCAAAAACAAACCTGAAATGACATTAAACAATCTTCATAAGGTAGATATGTTTCACTCGTTGAATATGGATAAGATTTAAGTAGAACACCTTCAATACGATATCCTTCACCACATACATTTGAACGTTTAATACCATCAATATTTGCTGAAGTCATAATATCTTTTGAAAAAAAAATTCTCTATTATTTATGTTCAAATATATATAACTTACATTCTTCAGCTCGTCTTACTAAATTATTTTTACTATAATCATTGATAATCGCTCGTGATGATGTTGTTTTTATTATGGAAATACTTGCAAATATAACAAGTAACAACAACAACAAATTATCACACCGAATTGATTGTAAGTAGATAAACATTCACTTGACAGAAAAATATAATCATATAGAATGCTTGATGCATTTATAGATCATATCATCCTATAATAAAGAAATAAACTTACATTTCATGATTAGCAAAATATGATATTTATGAGATAATTATATGTTATATGACTTTCACACTTTATTACCTTGCTAATATCCTGTAGCCATGTTCATTGTTAGTTGTCAATCCTCAAACAAATAAAGAATAAAAAAAAAGGTTTTTCCGTGTTGAATAGAGATGGCGTTATTCATCGCATAGTTAGAGAATGGAAGGAAAATACTGACGGCTAACATCAGAATTTATTAGCATTGATAGTTTCGATTGTCTATAATGATAATAAAAATTTCATTAATTAACATATTCATATCTAGTTCAATGATAGTACAATCAGATTATTAGAAAAACGTACCGATGTTTCTTGTTTGTAACAAGATTTCATTATTGTCTTATGTTTCCTATCTTTTTCTTTGTATCTACATAGAATCACTCAAGTTTCATTAATCATGACGTTAAGAGCTATTGAAAAACAAGATATCATTTTTATGTTCAAAATTAGACTTGCAATTTCAATACTACCCGATTTCCTAATTAACTTCGAAAAAGAACTAACATTCTTCTATCCGAAATTTAGCGCCAATATAATTAAAAATGAATCTGATAATTACAATTTTCCTCTTTATCAAAAATGACTTCAGTCTTGCTCAATCATTCGATATAAAATCTCAAAATAATAATTCTGAAGAATATGTTCCTCTTCGTTTTTTGACACAAAAAACTTTTATTGTAACAAATCCATGTCATACAGAAAAATCAATTCTTATTCGTAATAATACATTATATAAATTTGATCAAGAACAATTTCAATGGAAACGATTATGTGTTTCGCGAAATATTTTCAATCAACAAGTATTATTAATATAATAAAAGGCCGAAGAAAAGAATCGTTTATTTATTTTAGATTCCAATAGTAAATTCAATTGCTCATTTAAATAATGATTTAATTCTTATTATTCATGGAATTTTATTTCGTACACATGATATAATTAGCTCAATTAAAAATGAAGATATTATTTATACAATATCACGTTATTCGAGTAAGAAAATAACAATCTAAAAAATCATTCATTTATTTTTTTCTTCTTCTAAGATCTACCTATTTTATTCGAAAAAATTGATAATGTATTTACTACACCTTGTTGTACATGTCTTAAAAATACAACTTATCGTTCTATAAGTCATGTATTTAATGATTATGTTATTCTAGCAAATAAATATGGAAATGTAATACTTTTCTATTTCAAATCAATGTCGATTGTCTATGATTTTGGAAATATTTTTCAAACTCAATCTGTATGTTTGAGATAAAAAGTTTTTTTTGTGAAGTAAATCTTTTAGATTTGTAAATCACATCAATGTACGATTCTTTATCTTGGACTTTTCCATGCTATACCAATTCTTATGTGTGTTGTCAAATATGAAAATGATAAAGTAAAACATCAATAGATTTATTAACAAAAGTCTTTTAATATCTTAAAGTGCATTTTTATATTTCACGGTGAATGCACTAAATTCAGCTTCATATTTCCTTCCGAGCTAAATTTGGTATCCATCAAGAATGTCCTTGACGAAATGTCCTCAAATTTTGGTTTTCTGGAAAATGTCCTGAGGGTGGGTGTGAGTGTGGGTGGGTGTCGGTGTGGGTGTGGACTCAACTTTTGTTTAATCACAACCACGCCCACACCCACCCCCATGATTCCTAAATTTAATGAATTTATTCCATCTAGAAAATAATTGACTGAGTCTGAGTAAATTAGAATTATTTTATTCCATTTTGATGATACAAAAATCGCGATTAGTATTTTCTTAGGCATTAATTTATCATCAATCATTCTTAGAATTAAATTCAACTTTTCAAAAATTGATATATATAAATTTTACTGGTGATAGTTTATATATAACACCTACAACTTATCATAATTCTTATTTCTTTTGGGATATTAAAAAGATTTATTATACAACTAATGGAGGTCTTCTTCTATCTGAAGTTCAACATAATGGTTGTGAATTAGATTATTTAGATAATATGAATAAATCTCAATTGGAAGATTATTATACAAATCTTGAGATTGATTATGATAATATAACATTATTAACGAAAGAAATCTATTGTTTTAATAAAACTATTGATTATTTGTTTATTTTAAATAAAGAATTTTTTATTATAACACAAAATAGTAAGTTGAAATCTTAAAAGAATCAAGATTGACAAAACTTTTTGAACAATTCGAAGATGATTGGTTCTATGGAAAAGAATCATTTTTTTCTTCTATAATTAAACTTGAACAAAAAACTGAATGTAATCCAACATTTCAAGATTTATCTGTCCCAAATTTTAATTTTAATATAACTCAATGTTTATTAAATATCAATCAACAAACATTACCTTGTTCATCTTTTATTCAATCAACATGTTCATATATACGTTTCAAACCTTTATTTGATATTAATCAATTATATATCTTAGAAAAAAATACTCAAAAATATTTCGAATTTATTCTTGAAGCATATACAATTATTCCAATAATGATTGTTAGTATAGAATCAACATTTTTTAATTATATGATTAATTATACAATTAATTATATGAATAATGGTATTATTCAGATCATAGGAGTGAGTAATGAATATGTGTATACACATTTCCATATAATATTAAATAGAATATTCTTGTCTCAACAATAAATCAAACAAGGTATGATTATTAATTAGTTTATGATTATAACGACATGCAGCCCATCTAATTAATTATTTAGACCTTAGTTTCCATTTGCTTGTCTTTTGTTGTTTATGAAATGTTTTGAATTAATAAATTTTGATTACTTTCTAGTAATGATCTGTATGGTTCAAGTTTGCTGTCCCTTCGTCTGGGCTTAATACAAGATGCTTACTCATGTAGTCAACCAGCTTCTTTTGTAATAAGAACTTTTTCTATTGATTTTATGTTTATTAAAGCATCTATAGTCTGTTGAAATCGAAGCTTCTTGTTCTTCAACAAGTAAATTATACATCGTAAAGTAGAAAAACGAAAATTTTGTTAATATTGAATGATATTTTCTTTTTCTAAAGAGATAATGACTTTGAGTTTTGGAATGAATCTCATCAAAAAAGTGATACTGAATGGTCAAGTTTCTTTTTCGATCTTAATAAATATTCTAATAAATTTCAATACTTCCATTAGGATGCGACAAAATCTTCCAATAAATATTATTCACCAGTTCTCTCCACTTTACATAAAACGCAAACAAAGCGATTCAATTTTACTTAAATATCAATAGTAAAAAAATATTTCTTACTTCATTTAAATGATCTTAATCATATTTTCAAGTTGTTTTAATGAAACATGTCAATCTATTGATAGTAATCAACTTGATTCTTTACTTATATATGCCATACCTCTAACTAAAGAACATGAAAATTATGCTCATTATTTAATCAATCGGTCAGATTCTTGTGTACCTATTAGCCCATCAATGTATCGTTTATGGCTTCAGTTAACATTGAATACCACAAGTCGAAAACAACCTTTTCGGGTAGGAATATGTATCTGTATATTTTAATATCGATTTTCAACCCGTATCAATTCTCTCCTTTCATTTTATACTACGCAGATGATATTGCAAAAATTCATTGAGTTCTGTAGCTGTGAAACTTTGCTATTATCAACGAGTTGATTGTCGATGTATCCTTGTCATGTGTCACTTTCTAGTGGTAACAAAGAACAAACGATGTGTTACTGAGATGTCCAGAAAAGCATATCTTTTTTATAGTCGGCGTCGACATCATCATTCATCAACTAAAATAGGAGAGAGATCTATCTAAAGCTCAACAGGATATGTCTTCATTCTTGTGTATCACTTTCCTATTGCGAAAATCGTGAATTCTTTCTCTTCCAATGATATGATCGCACTAAATAATGCGTACTGGAAAAGTTCTGAAAGAAAGACATCCTCAATCTATCGAAAGAGAGTGAAAAGTTCATTGCCAAGGTAAGCAGCAAACAAAGAACACGTTTTTGCATCGTAGCAGGAGAACTCGCCAAGAAGCAGAAGGAGCGGACTCAAATTTTCGATCGTTTATGACTCTGTAATAGGCTAAAAGACTGAACTGAAAACGGATTCTTGTTTGGTTGGCGCGCAAGCCGAATTATTAAAATAATAGAGTTTGGGTCAGATATGTGGAAGACATTGAAGAGAATTAAGTATGCATTGGCTTTCTTATCATTTTCACCACCATAAAATTGCATTGAGTAGTGAAAGATAAGAGCGTATATTGGACTGGTCAATATTTTCAAGACACAATTTTAGTTCAATACGTGTTGCCTTTCTTGAAAAATAAAGAAAAGTTGATCGACATGTATGAAAGCAATATCGACTTATAGGATAACAGCATTTCGCATAGAGATTCGTCCGATTTCAACATAGCTGAACATATCGGAATAGTACGTATCGTCAATGTCTTGCAAAACATGGAAATAGATACAGGACTTCCAGAAAACCTTCTATATTCATATTCATCAAGACTGAACTATGAAAAAAAGTCAATGATGGTCACATAGATTATTGGTTAAACCGATGGAGTTCAGCAAAAAATAAACATTAACCGGTTCTCGTTAAAGGATTTTATATACTAGAAAAAATATCGCATGTTTTAGTCCATTGTTCTAATTAAATAAAACAGTATTAATATTAAGCGGAAGGACAAAGACATGACAGCTAATCCATTTCGCGAGCCGTGAAATATTCTATTAAGAATATTACAATTATGATCATTTATTTTTTTTCCAGGTCCAGAGTAGTATATACATGGACTAGTTATCGTCATTTCCGTATTTTAACAGTCTGCTAGAATCCATATCTTTCTCTCTTGCTTCTATGCTTTTCATGATCTTTCATTCGTAGCATTTTGTCGTTTTGATGTAAAACAATATTATATCTTATTTTTCACCACATTTGCACAAATCGAAGTAAACCATACGTATTTCAGTATGACCCATTGAACTAGAAAAAAAAATATATTTGCCATTAATTATATTTTTTTACAGTGTATTTACTAGGAAGTATGGCTCATTTCAAATAATACCTGCACGGTATAACACGGATAACAAGTACAATATAGTGTATTATTGTCTGTCCATTGACATATAGTACGATATATGCAATATCAATATCATCGTGATATAGAATAACAGGTTTTGATACGTACAAGAAAATATCTGTTAAAAGAATAGTAGTGTCTAATTTTTCTTGTTTTGATTATACTGAAATAAGAGAAGAACAAAATCTACAAAAAACATCGTCTTTTTTCAATACTTCCTAAAAATAATCAATGTATATAGTCTATATTCTTTAGATTCCATATGAACGACGTACATCATATCGAACATTATTAAATATGTTTTCAATACCAAAAAATTCCTGTCTTTTTTATAATGCATCCAATTCTATACATATTAATAAAACAATAAATCAATCATCCTATGATCATTTGAAATTTCTTATTCATATAATTGCTTATAATAATAAATATAGGTTATATATATAATTTAATACAAAAAATTACGAGAGAATTTTTTTTTAGTTATTGTGATCTTGAAACATTTATATTACTTGAAATTGAACCAGTTTATCATATTCATACTACATATCGTGGTTATGTTTTTTTAATCACTCTCTTTCTATTTATTCTATTATTCATTTTATTTATTCATATTTATACATATTATAAATATAAACAAAGACAAAAATATCTTGAATATCATCGTTTAAATCAAATCGATGCCGGACAGTAAATTAATCTTGATAATTAGAAAAATATTTAACCTTTTTTTTTGTTCTTATTAGATTTCATCAATGGTATGATGTTGCTCAATATTTAAATAAAAATAAACATACAAATAATTATGATTCCATACATAATTATCTTCTAAATCTTGAACCAACAAATAATTTAACCAAACGTTTAATAGAATATCATCATAAATAAATACTGTAACTCGTAAAATCTTTACGAATACAATTTACATATATTAATATGCACGGTTTATTTTTTTCTTCAAAAGAATACGATATAACTTTATCTTTTTATGTCTATACGCACTCGATAAAATGAAGTTAATCAAGAATAATTTTCTCTTTTATTTGATGTATACTGAATAGTTACTAAGATGAGAAAAAATCTCAATTCTATTCTAGATATTTATCTATAAAAATATGTTCATTAGAAAAAGTACTTAGATTTTTATTGACATAATTATATGACAATTTACTTTAAGTTGACAGATATTTATTATCTTTTATTAGATAGAATCATTGAGACAACTAAAAATTGTTATCTGTTATAAAAAAAATAGAAATTTAGATGTGTCTTCCTCTTTTGATGTTTGATTTAGTTAGCAATAGGTCATATTTATTTTCAATGTTTTCGTAATAGACACATGGTTACATTGGTCTTGTTTTTCAAAAAAAACAAAATAGGTAGAGTCAACCAAATAGTAAATGACACCTACATATACTGCTCTAACGACCAGAACTGCTTGTTTTTTTTCCTATGTCTATATATTGTGTATAAGTTAGAAAAGAAAATTAGAAGTGGGTTTTTTGCTCATTCTGTGCGTGTACTTAGGTAGTTTGTTCTTTCCTCATGTTGCCTATGATGACGATAGTATGTTGTAATTCTAATTTAGATAAACCATTCTATTTGCCTGTTGCTAAGGTAGTCCAACGACAAATATAACCGTCTTCACCGTTTCTTCCTAGTGTTATAGAGAGAGAGGTGAGTCAAAGAGAGAGAAAAGAATGATGATGATGATAATGACTTCGATTAGGATTCAACGAAAGAGAAAAAAAAGTAAACAGAAGTTAGTGCACACGCATATATACATATAGGTGTGGGTGTGTGCATGTATATATGTCCTATCATTTGGCTAGTCATGCACCTCATCATAGTACGACTAGTCATATTACATGCAAAAGCAAGTAGTGTCACACTCGGCTGCTCGAAACAAAATGCAAGTCAAAACAAAAAATAACGAACATGATGAAGAAAGTCGTTTCTTTCCAGGGAATTAATGTTATGACGTAGACAACAAGTACAAGTATGCAAGCATTTGCCCATTGTCAACATGCATTACGCTCACATAAGCAGAACTGATGGTGAGTGGAATTGAGGAAAGTGTAAAGTGATCGTAACGTACGCCTAAGAAAAGAAAAAAAGAAAGAAGACATAGACATCCGAATGTTGCTGCAAACAATCTTTTGATTTGCCTGAATATAATCGGCAGCAACGGTAAAAAAGGAAAGGAGCATTGTATGTGTCTAAAAAAATACATTGCCTATTCGTCCTGCTTGTATAGGAACAAAGATCTGTTTGGTTAAAATAAATAACAAAAAAAAAGACTCTCGTTTTTTGTTGCCATATGACTATAGTAAAATATCGAGAAATTCTAGACTCTTGTGTTTATCGTAGGTAAGATGAAATAAAATGAGAGTGAGAGAGCGTAAAAGAAGAAAGAAGTGTCGCTGGTGCTCATTTCACATGGTTCACTTGAAACGACCTTCTGAGCAGGACTATACTTTGCTGCCTGCAAATGATCGCTTCCTGTTCTCATCGTATATATATATATACACCATTTTTTTCCTCATCGGCATCGTCTTTCTCGTTGTCGTCGTCTTCTTTTCTTTTTATTCGTTTGTTATTGTTGTACGGAAGGTAAGAGTGAAGGTGGTACTAGACACCATCTATTACAGAATTTTCTCTTACACTCTCTCAGTTTTTTTTTGAAAAAAAAAGACGATGACGACGACGGAGCGCACGAAGGAAGACGAAAATGCATTTGCGTATATATATCTGGATTAGGGAGAAGCAAGCATAAAACAGGGACGTTAAAGAATAAGAAGAAGACGAAGAAAAAGAAGAAAGGAAGAAGAGAAATAATAATATGAATAAAACTATGACTACATGATGGCGGTGGGACACTCCAAAAGTATAGCTCTCACTCTCACTCATACTCTCGCTTTCAGTCACTTTGCACAATGCAAAGACAGAAAGAACATGAAGCAGAGAACATCGGTGCTTGGCAACAACACACATCGTGTCTACCTGCTCTATGCATTGATGTGTCGTATTTAGTTTAGACTCTTTTATTGAAACATTTTTATTTTATAACTAGTTATTCGATAAAACTTCTTTTTTTTCTTCTTCTATTACAGATTGAAAAATTTTTCTTTCTCTCTTTAATTCTTTTCATTAATAAAATTCATATATAAAATAAAATCGTTATGAACGATCAAACAGCAGATTTATCTTCAATTGATTCATTTCATGTTGGTCGACGTCGTAAACCAAATTTTACTGATCATGAAGTTTTGTATATAATTGATCAATATGATAATTATAAAGAATGTTTACATTCTCGTGAAGCATCCAAAAGTGTTATAGCACAAAAACAAGCTATATGGAAACAAATAACCGATAATCTCAATACAAACTATCCACAAGTTGAACGAACTGTTGAAGATGTACGACGAAAATGGAAAAAATTACAAAGTGAAGCTAAACGTGAATCAGCTGCTTATCGTGCAGCACAACTAGCAGGTACATCAACATCAATATCAAATAAACAATTGAACGTATATAATCGTATTTTAAATATTTGTCGTGCACCAGTAACATCTACATCTCATTTTCCTCCTAATGCTACGCTAGCTGCTGCTTTACAACATCAACAATTATTACAACAACATCATCAACAAATACAACAGTCAAATATGAATAATAACAATAATAATAATCATCATGATATGTCATTTAATGAACAGGTTAGTTATCCATGCACAAAAAATCTTTATATGATGAGTTGTCAAAAATAATTAAATTAAATCTTGCATAAAAAAAAATTGTTTCTTGTTTATTTTTAGTCATCAGATAAAGTTGATTCTCCATCATCAGATCTTGGTAATGGTATCAGTGTTCAATTAGATTCTCCAGGTGATGAAAGTGCTAGTCTACTTGGTAATGAAGATAATTCACCAAGTCCAATAACAAATTATCAATTAACATCAAATATTCAATCATATCAACCAGCACATTTATCAACAGTAGCAATATCAAACAATGGTCAAATATCAAAACGTACATTAGATAAACGACGTAAATTATTAAAATCATCAGTAAATCAACAAGTTATTAATAATACAAGTAAATCATCATATGGACAACCACAGCAGCAGCAGCAGCTACAACAACAACAGCAACAAAATTCACTTCGATATGAGTCATTGATCAAACGAAAACGGACACTTGAGTTAACAAGTCAAAGACTTGTTTACGATAAGGAACGTTTATTAATCGAAAGAAAAAATCTTGATATTAAATTAGCTACGAATGAATGTGAAAATGAACGTATTGCTATTGAAAAACGTCGTACAGAACTTGCATTACAAAAACTTCAATCTGACATATCATTATCAACAAATGGTAACCATAATTTATCTGATCAAGAAGATCATGAAGACAATAATAGTCTAGATGATATGAGTGATATTAACGAGTAGGTTATTTATATATTCTTACAAGTATATACATA